AATGCAATATGAGAGCCACGAAAGCAAAGGTTCAGTCATCTGCATTGGTCATCTTCGTATCGCCCGTGCCCAGTAAGGGCTTGACCCGTTGTTAGATGCTCAATAAATGTGTATTGAGGCAGGTTCTGGTCTAGTCCAGGGCTCTTTCCACTGAATCAAGACTACGTTGGTTTACTAGATAGTAGCTTCTCCTTGGATATATAAACACCTGACCGATGTGGGACACTGTGGAGCGAGAAGGATCTGAAATTACTTGAAAACAGTGTTGACATTTAGGGTGACTGATTGAATTCTCCGGCTGCCATTAGCCATCATCCTGGGTGTGCCAGCAGGGGCTAGGGCATCTCTAGAAGTCAGCAAAGCTGTCCAGCTGAACCCACTGTCCAATATTTGTTGGCAACCCACCTCCAATATTTTTATACTCATGATTAGTGAAGTTGAAGAGCGTGTTAAAGGGAAAGACTAAAAAGGAGGTCATCAAAGGATAATGGGGGGCCTGAGTGGTGCTTGAGATAATGTATACGAAATTGCTTTTTAAAAATATATAAGCATCAGGGAATTCCCTGGCGGTCCAGTGGTTAGGACTCCGTGCTTCCACTGCAGTGGGCCCGGGTTCATCCCTGGTCGGGGAACTAAGATCCTGCAAGCCACGTAGAGGAGCAAAAAAAAAAAAAATATATATATATATATATATATATATATATATATATATATATACACACATGCATCAGAGATACAGATTAATGTAAGATACACAAATGCCTCAGCAGGGAAGCCCAGTACCTTCTTTCTCTGGCTTTCATGGTGGGGGTCTGGGCAAGTGCGGGGCAGGTGCTGGGTTGTGTCATCTCTAGGCAGTCTTCTGCAGAAAAGCTGCAGGTGCCGGGTGTTAGGAACAAAGCACACTGTAGTGTGAACAGAGTGGCACAAAAATGGTGGAAAAGGAAAGGAGGGGATCTCGGAGGAGTAGTGACATTGATACACTTTCTCACCTCCTGGTCTTTACTCAGATGTCGGCACCTTCTCAGTAGGTTTCTCCTGACCTATTTAAAACTGCATCTCATTCCCCAACCTCCATTCATGGTTTGTGCTTTGTTTTTTTCTACAGTATTTATCACCACCTAACATCCTCTATTTGTTATGTGCTTATTTTGTTGTCTTTTTCTTCCCATCAGGATGAAAGCTCTTTGAGCGGGGGGGCTTTCGACATCTGGAGCAGTGCCCATTCAGGTGCTCTTATTTGTGGAGTGAATAAATGAATGGCTATCTCATTTTCTTCCCTTTGGCTCCTTCTGTGCTCCAGAGATTTGCAGAATTAAGAAAGGAGGAATATAGGGAAGATAAAAGAGAGAAAGCCCTAGAGATTAAGACTGAAGAGTGGATTCAACTTACACTGAGTTGCTGTTGATTTTTCCCCAAGCAACCATCAGCACATATGATCTTGCATGGACAGGGATATTTATGGGAACTGCAGGTCAGACTTTTGGAATGGTGATTATTCCTGGAAAACGTGGTATGCATCATTAACATGACTGTTCAGCTACATGTAACTGTGAAGTCATTGGGAGCCCTTGCAGGCGCCTTATGGTAGACCACAGTGATAGTCTTAGGACCAAGTAGTTTAGTTTTCTTTCTGGCAGCAAGATTCAGGAACTTGGCCTGCTTTCCTCTCTGACACTGCTCATATTTCCTTGAGATACTTCTTTCCCCGCTCCAAGCAGGGAAGTCAAAACTAGTAAGTGATTAAGCTGGGAGTGAAGCCCAGGTCTCTTTGATTTCTTTCTATAGTAGTGTGGGAAGAAGCTGGGAGGGAGACAATTAGGGGTAGAATGAGAACCATGAGTGGGAAGGAAGAAAGAGGAGAAAATGGGAGAGAGCAAGGAAAAACCCATAGTCCTTGGACACCTAGTTGTCTGTGCGAATTGCTTCTAGGAGGTTTATTCCTATATAACGCTTTAAAATTGTACACAATTTTTAGATGCTTTTTTTTTTTAACCCCCAGATAGAGGGTTTGGAGTTTAACAGATTTCCAAAGAGTTCTGTGACTCAAAAAAGGTTTTGAACCAAACACTGAACCATGCAATTTGTCTGTAGTTTGTTCTAATGAAGCTTTTTTCAATGGATTTTTTCCCCCTTAAAATAGGGAAAGGGAGAACAGAACTCTGTCTGAGCCAAATAGCTTATAAAGTCTGGATATTAAAAAAAAATTCTGGCTCTAGGAAAAATGGTGAAATAAGCTAGTTTTCTCAGCTGTTTCTGTGAAGGCAGAAGTTATGGCTATTCAGTTGCTATCACTAGAAATTGTTGTGAAATATTGAAGCCCGGAAGATTTCCAGGTCTGAGTGATTCACGAGGTTTTGTAGACTTCGACAAAGTATGGTTTGTTTTTACAGCCTTCTGCATTACCTTCAAAATACCTGGGGATTTGGGACATGAACTTTGACACATGGTGTGGAAAAGGATGAAAGTGTTTGAAAACAGAATGGTCCTGGAGAACCTGGGGTATGGTCTGTCATCCACAGGCCTGATTTGAGGGTCCAGGGCAGGTGACAGCAAACTGCAGGTGCAGGCCAGGACTGGGCTGCCTTCTGTTTTTGTAGTTTTATTAGGACACAGCCATGCCCACTTATTTACATATTATTTATGTAGCGGCTGCTTTCAGCTATAAGGGCAGAGTTGTATAGTTGCTACAGGGATTGTATGGCGCGAAAAACCTAAAATAATTGCTATGTGGGCTTTTACAAAGTTTGCCAATCCTGGTCTAGGGTCTAAATGGGTGAGGGAAACTGGAAAAGGCTTGTACTGGTTTGCACATACACCTTATTTCAAAATGTTTCTTTGTAGTACGCCCATGAATGTTGGCAATCTATGTGTACATGATGGCCATAACTTATAAATGTAGAACTAAATTCTACCCTGTGCACAGACTTTCCTTTCATTTCATGTGTTGCTAATTTGAGTAATGTGTGTATACATATTATTTAACTGAAGTTTATATTTTGGCCCATGTACCATAACATGATTCCATTGGAAACTTTCAAATTATTTTAAACTTTTTTTTTTTTTTTTTTACTTTGGAGAACATTTTGTACTTTAAACTATCATGGTAGAACAGGTCAAATTGGATAACTCACTGGGAAAGAATAACTCTTCTGACATTAATTGAAGAATTTAAAAAATTCTCTTTACCTGTTGTGTTTGAACTATTACTTACTCATCGTCATCTATAATTGTCCTCACAAATTCTTCTCTCCCAGTGACCATTTTCATCCAAATAGTACTGTATATTTGAGTAGTGCTTTGCCAAATATTTTCACATGTATATTATTTCAAACATTTCTGTGAGGTAGGCAGCGTAGGAGTTCTGATCAACCACCATCTTTCTCTTAATTTTCGGGTGTGAAAATTGAGGCCTAGGGAATTTAAGTGATTCCTTCCTGGTTACATGGGTCATTACTGACAGTCCCAGGGCTGATATCCTGCAATTGTTGGTAACTGGAATTATTATTTACTTTTGTATTTTGTTATGGAAGGGTGCATTTGAACCATTTCAGAGAGATTGAAGAATATTCATTTCTATTCATCCATCAAGTGAGGATAATATTCATCTGTGGGATTGTTGTAAGAATTAGAGATTGTGTACGAAGAGGCTGAGTACAAGGCCAGGAGTAGAGTGAGCACTCTGCAAATGGTGGCTCCTGTTATACTTTTCCCAGGATCATGGGATTATTTTTATTTTTAATTAGAATATACCATTTATTAGAATATACTCTTCTTAATTTTTCTGTTGTTAAAAAAAGTATAAAAATTGTGCTTTTGTGCACCTTGGTTACAGTTTTCTTCATCCCCCAATTGAGCTAACAATATTGGAACAATTAAAACAATGTATCAAACTCAGAAACATTGCAGGTTTGTAGTTCATGTTTCAACTTTTTTTTTTATTGTAGTGGTATCATTTACTTTGGTAAATTCATATCCCAATTTAAAATGCCCCAAAGCAAATAAAACTCTGTTATAAATTCAAGTCCTGTATTTTAAAATGTACACGTAATACACACAATAGCTGCGTAGTGGAATTACTATAACAAGCAGTTACATTCATGATGCCCAGTACTAAGTTTTCGACACTGCGTATAGATTACACTAGATATATTTCTTTATTTATGATACTGTTACTTAGGACAGTAACTTTAGTACAATAGCTTATACGATTGCATTTCCAAAGCTTTAATAAAGTTAGTAGCATTTAACTAATATTGAATGAAAACATTTTTATGTGTAGGATGTATTTTAGGTCAGATGCTTATGCAAGAATAAGCACTTAACATGCTGTTGTATCCTTGACAAAACAAAATCATCCCTTTCACTAAACAGAATAAGCCAGGCTAAAAGAAATATGATGTAATCAAAAGAAAATTTAAATGTGATTCCCTGTATTATGTTAAAGATTATTTAACATAATTTTCTTCTGGTTAAAATATACTTTTTTTTTTTTTGGTTGAAAGAAAGAAGAGAGAAAGAGAGAGGGAGAGTTGTAAAGGCTGTATTAATATGCTAACAGCTGTAGCCCTTAGATGATACTTTAGCTGGGAAAAAAGTATGGTGAGTTGTACTCAATGTTTTTTTCTGCTTAGAAAAAAATTGATAGCCTATAAATTTCTAATGTTTTAAAACAGGTATTTATTATTTAAGGTCTTTAAATATACCTGTATTAAACAAATTAGGTTGTTTAAAAAACTTTGCAACAATACTTGACTTATTCACAAATATATTTTCTATCCATATTTATTAGAGTTTGAACAATTTAAAAACATAAATCCTGTAAATACTCTTAGCTTAGATAACAACACTGTTATCTTAATTCACATAAATGTTTGAACAATACTGTTATCTTAATTCACATAAATGTTCGCAAGAAATATTTATAATACTTGATAGAGTATCTTTAATGCTTGCATCAGAGACTCAAATTAATCACATTTAACTTTACAGATGGAAAAGTGGGGATGGTGAGAGGTTGGATTAACTGTTCTAGTAATTGGAGTAACTAGCTTTCATGTTCTTTTTGTGCAGCTGGACTTCTGATTTTTTTGTGGGGGAGGACGCAAACTTTAAAGTTCTTAGAATAAAGTTAACTCTCTGGAAATCAGGTAATGATTACAAAAAACTTTCAGATGAAGATTAATCTAATCATCAAATTAGCCCTGGGGTGTGTTCTATAGTTTGCTCAAAAGATCTTACAGAAAATAACTTCTATTTTTCTACCTGTGCAAATTATTATCTCAAAAGGGAAACATTTGGTTAAGTGAATAGTCCTCTTTAAAGGTTCATTTATAATTGCTTTCTTTTTTTAAGTAGAAAAATCTTTTTCGATATAACCAGTCATGGAATAATGATGAATAACTCAGTGTGGTTCTTAACATAATACAGTCATATTTAAACAGACTATTCCATTTTCCTTAGAATGTTCAGACACTGAGTGAAATTTCAAAGGCTTAACTAAACCATCTTAATGCTTACAGTCTCTGATAAAAATTTCAAGGGAAAAAGAAGACTATTTGGAGAATAAATAAAATAGAAACTGTACTAAATTTCTGAGTTTACGCTCCCTCTGTCCAAAAAATACAGCTATAATTAGATTCAGAGACATTTTGTCGCCCCCCCCTTTTTTTTTTTCTGAAGAGTCATACATTGGTCATAACATACACACTTAGTAACTTACATTTTGGGACAGAAGGTGGTCAGCAGGCCTACCTTGGTCCAATCTAATGTCATTTTCACATCAAGTAAAATACTGTCTTTGGATTAATTAGCTGCTGATGGAGGTTTGATAGAGGGGATACTGCATGATCTTCTCATGATAAGCCTGACTTCTATATCTGGTAGATTATCCTGCTTAGTCTGTAAACACCCTTCATCAGTGGCTGCTAAATGAAGATCAAATCGAAGAGAAACAGATTTTTTCCTTAATCGAGGGTTATCTTTAAAGAAGGAACCTTCCCATTCTTTAATAACTTCATCCACTTTCTCTGTCCTGAAATGATAAAATAAATCTTTCTATATGAAGAAGTATGGCTATAGTAAAAAACATGTATTGTATATGAAAAATAAATCAAGAAATGTAATTTATATTTACATTTTAAATTATAATTTATAATTTACATTGTGGCATTTATTATTTATATTCTTTAAAAATCATATGAATAAAATGTCTAACTGATTCTATGGAATTCTCATGTTTTAGTTATATTTTTGGAAAAATGGTCAATTAAGAATGTAGTACTTCATCTGAGTTTTTGTTTATGTATATTTATCATGTCAGGTTAAAAATCACAATATATAAAATTATGTTTGGAAACGTTCAAAGATTGCTGAGATTACTCAATTGAAGTTAATTTTTTGGGCATATGTTCACTGTTGGTCAAAATTTTTTACTTACTGAATAGTGCCATGAGCTTCAGTACTTTCTTTCACGACATTTCCATTTAATATTGCTTGTTTGGTCACTGTTTCCACTTTTTCGTTCTCATACTTCTGTGGGACTTTTGTTGAAAAAGATATTTCATTTATAATGGCTGTGAAAATATTATTTATGAAATATTAAATTACAATGTTGAAGTACTATTCACAGTCAATTTGTATGTCAAACTTTATTCAAATATTGCTTGTTTTTGCTACTTTAGAGTATTTATAATCCCTATAAACAGGCACTTCACTTTTTAAGTTAGTTAACTTATATCAGAAACTCACCTGAAGGTAAAACAAAACCAACTCTACTTGTGGTAGGTTTTTGTTCTTTTTTCCCACCTTGGATGCAACCATAATATCTGAAATTGGAAAGAATTATAGGAGCAACATTGTATTAGCGTGTAATTGAAACAAATGCTCACAAATAAGAGAATGGATAAATTGTAGTATAGTCATACAAAGGAAATACTACTTAGCAGTGAAAATTAGTGAACTAAGGGTATACTCTATCTGTAGGGAACAATCTCCCAAGTATAACATTGAGTGGGGAGAGAAAGATACATTGTAGCTAATTTTATCAAGGTTAAAAAACATGCAAAACAATTTCACATTTTGCTTAGGGATATATAATGAGACTAATGAGACATAAGCATCAGATCCAGGAGCCAGGTTAGACTGAGGGAAGAGAATGAGATTGGTGGGGGTGTGGTTTAGGTGCTGTGGGCGGGGATTGGGGGGGACTTCAATAACATTGTAAATGTTTCACTTCTTAAACATGGGAGTTCATTATATTTTTCTTGATGCTTTGTATATTTATCTTAAATAAATTTAAGATACCTGTGTATCTTAAATATAGCATGATACAATTTTTAAAATTGTATTAAAGGAATGTTAAAGACCACTTTATCAACATCTTGAATGATTAGGCATTAAATAAAATTTACAACCATTTTATTTCATAATGCATAAATTATATGTATGTAGCTATATATATATTTACATAGCACTGTTTTAAGCACTTAACAAACAATTCATTTAATCCTCAGCAATCTTGAGGTAGGCAATATTATTCCCATTTTATAGATGAGAAAACTGAGGAACAGAAAGATTCAGTAACTTTCCCAGCATCACTTAGCTAGTAAGTGGAATATTTTTAATTCAATTTATGTTTTTCAAAGATTTAGTAAATGTCGAGATTTATTATAGGTGAAAGTAGTTTCATCCAGTTTTATAGAGGACTCAGAATTCTGAAGTAAGCAGGAATAAAGGTTTTCTTTTTATGGGAACATGGAAAATTGTACATTGTGCTGTGCTCAAAGCCATATGACCTTATAAGTGATTGCAGATTATGAAATTATGTGAAATAATAAGAATTCCTCTTTTGATACCTTTCGTTACCAGGATATCTGGAAATCTTTCAAATCATGTACTCAGAACAACATTGCTTTCCGTGGTTGTACTATAATAATAATAATAACATTATTATTATTATTATGGTTATAATAATGGTTATTATTATTTTGGTGTTTGATGTGTGTTGGGAGTGGGCCCTTGTGGGAGGGGGAATGTGGTAATGTGTGAATTTTTCAAACTTTCTTTGTGGGTGGTCCATAGAAGGCACTAACTAATTCTAAAAGGGGTGAATGGCAAGGAAAGTGAGAAAGTTAAGGAAGGTCATTTTTGTAGCGATAGAGAATTGTTTACATTTTGTTCTAGGCTTGCTGTGCTCTTTGTTGTAGCTAATGTCCCTGACTTTGGCTAGTCTGTTCATAATTTTGGGAGGCTGGAAATAGTTCTCCCACATATTTTTTGCAGTGAGTACTAATCCTGTTTTGTGGTAGGAACTCCGTGAGCATGCCTTGGTGATGATGGGTTTTAGATTTAATTTCTCTATCTCAGTGACATAAGTGGCTCTGTATTTCTGCTCATTCACTGTATGGAATTAGGTACCTGATTTCTTCCTTTTCCAGGAGGCGGCGATAAGTTGCGATTTCTTGTTCTAGCCTCATCTTCGTGTTGAGGAGCATCTCATGCTCTTGAAGCTGCTTTTCGATGCCGCGCCTTACTTCCTGTAGCTCTTTTTCTAGTCCTTCAATCACTGTCTCTAGGTCTTGCAGCTGCATCTGGTAATGTTGTTCACTGGCGTGTAGGGAGTTTTCAAGGCCCCTTTCCTGTTTTGTACAGATCTTCATCAGTGAATCAGGGAAACTAACTGTGTTTCTGAAATCTGATTTGCAATGTCTTTGTTCTATTGAGTTCTCTTCTTTCTTAAAAAGGTTGCAATAATTGTACAGCCCTTATGCAAGAGGTGTTTCCTTACAGCTTTAGGTATGACCCAAATTTTAAAAAGTTGTATTTTCTTTTTACAGCTAGAGAGCTTACTATTTCAAAGGAATCCTGTGATAATTCTTATGGCCAAAAAAAAAATCTGCAGTGTGATTAGTTTATTATCACCCTAATTTATTTGATTTCTTAAATATTGAAAAATATAGAATATTAAATATCAAAGCCAGAGCAGACGGCTTATAAAAGGCATTTTCAGAAAGTGTTTAAATATTTTTCTATTAGAATTCTCAGTGGTATGGATAAGACTCCCCACTGTTACGACTTTGGATAATGACAAAGGCTCTATTCCCCCACTCTAACCATTAGAGAACCCCAGGATGATAAGCGAGGGTTATTTCATTTTTAAAGGTGTGAATAAACCTTGAGTGAATTGATAATAGTTATTGCCATGATGGAGGCAGGGCGGTAGTTGAACTAGGTCCATGGATGGAATTCAGTGATCTGATTTTCAGTTCCTCACTGGCCAGTAATGGACATTATTCCTTTCCCTCTCTTAATCAGATAACATCTGGGGATTCAGTGGGCCAGTTGCTTTTGAGATGATTCTCACCACAGCATGGAGAGATTCAATTTCCACTTGCAGGTGATGCCACTGGCGTCGGGCTTCCTTGAGTTCTGCTTGAGCCGCCTTTAAAGCCTCTTCATCTTTGTCCATTTTTTTGCTTAGATCTTCCTCTAACTAGAAGAAATCCAACAACAACAATAACAACACAACAACAACAAAAGCACTCTTGAAAGTGAGACATTTAAAAGCAGTTATAGAAAAATAGTACAGGAATCAAATCGTTTTTTCTTTAAATTTTTAAATGACCAGTGCGTGTTCTGCTTGGTGCTCAGTTACTAATTAATTAAATTCATGAGCGAGTCAATTGCAGTCTCAGCCTCAGTTCTCTAGGATGTAAAATAAATCTCAAAATTCTTTTCCTACCATGACAGTCTATGAAATGTAGAAAAATACATTTAATGAGAAGTAAGTTTGCAGGACCTAAGTTTGAGACCTCTGATTCTTTTTTATTTTATTTAATTTTTTAATGTAGACCATTTTTTTAAAGTCTTTATTGAATTTGTTAATATTGCTTCTGTTTTATGTTTTGGTTTTTTGGCCGCAAGGCATGTGAGATCTTAGCTCCCCAACCAGGCATTGAACCCGCACCCCGTGAATTGGAAGGCGAAGTCTTAACCACTGGACTGCCAGGGAAGTCCTGAGACCTCTGATTCTTAACTTTCTATTGTTTATGGTATCATTAAGGAAGAAAGATAGAAAATTAGCTACTGCCCACCCCCACCCCCCATATTTTCTTGTAGGCTGCTTCATAAAAGCAGATAAACAGCTATATATCCTAAATTGATCATTTCTAGGACTGGGTATATGGACAGGATACTTTACAATAATTTACAGGATAATTTACAATACTGCTAGAAAGTGTATTATGAAACATTTAGAGAGTTAAGTTATCATAGGCATTAGAGATTCTATAATAGACTTCTGTATTACGAGAACCCATTGTTGATTTACCTTTTTTAGAAGGCAATGTTAGGGTGCACAGTGGTTGAGAGTCCGCCTGCCGATGCAGGGGACTCGGGTTCCTGCCCCGGTCTGGGAAGATCCCACATGCCACAAAGCGGCTGGGCCCGTGAGCCATGGCCGCTGAGCCTGCTTGTCCGGAGCCTGTGCTCCGCAACGGGAGAGGCCACAACAGTGAGAGGCCCGCGTACAGAAAATAAATAAATAAAAATCTATTGTACCACCAAATTAAATTTTTTACATTTTAAAATGCATTTTTATAAATACGTTAAGAAGTTCTAATTTTTGCTTCAAAATACTGCAATCAATTCCATACATTGCTCCTACTGCACTTCCTGGACCGGGGCACGAACCTGCGTCCCCTGCATCAGCAGGTGGACTCTCAACCACTGCGCCACCAGGGAAGCCCAATAGACTCTTTTTAAAAGGAAATATTGGATTAAATGAAAGTCAATAAAGTTTAGCATGAGGTATTAGACAACAAAATTCATTCATTTCTTTTGGTTTGTTGTATCACTTATTCTTAGTGTTAAGTTGGCAAAGCCAAGCAGCAACACATATCAGAGCAACTACAAAAGAGGATGACAAGAATTTTGGAAATAGAAGAGCATAAAAATGCTGGTCTCTTGGATGTTGAGTGAGGAGCTGGCAGCTAGGCTTGTGTGGTAGCTAGATTCCGAAGATGGCTCCCAATGAATCACACCTCCCCAAATTCATGTCCTTGTTTGGTCCTCTTCCACACTGAATCTGGGATAACCTGTGTCTTGTTTTAGCCAGTAGAATATAGCTGAAGTGCCAGTTCTAGGCCTAAGCCTTAGGAAGCCCTGATGACTTCCACTCCTATGATTTTGGGAGCTCTGGGCCAACATGTAAGAGATCTGGTTACCCTGTTGCAGAGGTCATGTAGAGAGGCCAGATGGAGAGAAACAGGCCCAGTTGTCTCAGCTGAGCCAGCCTTCCAGAAATGCCCTGCCAAGGTGCCAGACACAGGAGTGAGCCACCTTGGATGTCCCAACCTAGTTTTGCCCCAAGATGACTGAAGTCCTAGCCAATGTCATGTGCAACAGAAGAATAACCCCCACTGAACCCAGTCAAGCCACAGCATCGTGAAAGACAATACAATTGTTTTAATCCGCCAAGTTCTGGAGTGGTTTGTTATACAGCAGTAAATAACTAAATTAGCTTATGTTTATTTTGTAATAAGTAAGTAATCAGGCTTCCTTGAATTTATTCCCGTTGATTTTCTAAATTCTTTGAAAAAAAATCCCGTAAAGTAGTTTTATGTTAAGAAGATGAAACAAAACTTACTGTAGTCTTGCTTTTTCACTTTATTCATTTCAGCATAATGACTTGTAAACTAAATAACTTGTATTTCTATTATTGCAAAATAAAATGTTTATTTGGCTTATAATTTTTAGAAATTGTCATCTGTTAATTGTTTTCTTCTCTTTGTAAAAGGTGAGTGAACTATTCCAACACTTAAATCAAATATCCCAGTGAATTTGCTTCATCTACGATGCTGATAATTCTTTATGAAGACTGAAAATGTTACCCAGAAGTTAAATGTATGTTGTTACTAAAAATGAATTGCATGCAGTAATGTCCTATGATTTCCCAGCAATATTTTTTCCCTTTTGGGTATGTTCTTAAGTAAACTCTTTGCTGTGTTTGGGTGCTTGGAATAGAACTTGTACTCAGATATGATAGGTAAACTGAAAAAAAAAAAAATCCCTGAATTTCTGAATCTTTGTTTCTAAAAGAGTTGTTTATTCATTTGTTTAGAGATGAGAACTTAATTTATTACTAAAGGTGATTGTCACTTTAAGACAAAGTAAGTCTATGAAATTAGGATTTAGCTCTTATTTAACTTGACTCTCTTTTTAAAAAATACTTAAATATTGCATGCTTAGTATTAGAAATAAACATTTCTCATCTTTTAGTACAAAAGCAAAAACCTGTAATTGAAGTAGAAAGTCATTTTCGATTTGGCAATTTTGATTGTCCCAATTTATATCATTGTTTCTGAATGCCATGTTCACATACTCAGATGATTTCTATTTATAACAATCTGGTATAAAATTGAACTCATTAAAAAATGATAGAAACCTTTTAGAAATATTTTACTTAGTTTTATCTTGCAAAGTGTGGAAGCTAATAAATCTTACTATAAAGCTTGTCATTTTAAAGATGTTATTTATATTATCTCTATAAATAACTCCATAATAGCTTCGAAGGGTATCTGAAATGTTCCTTCCTGTAGGATGTCCAAAAGAGATTAGAGTGCACCATTTTACTGTATGTTGATTCCATGTTTTGTTAATGATAGTAACCTCATGATTTATATAAAAATCAAATGTATCAATCAACATTCATTTAATGGTTATTTAACAGGAATAATCACAGCCTTTCCCCCTGTAGTCCCAGTCACTTTGCAGTAAAACCTAAATTCCTTCCCCAGTATATGCTGCATTGAAAAGGAAATACTGTACCTCAGAGAGGCCGAGACAGGAATTGGATAGACATGGATTGTCTCCTTATCCTGGAAGATGCCTGTCTGTATGAAATCATTACCTGGATCCTTGTTGAGAGCACGGTCTCTATCTGATTTCTGGTGAGGAGCTTTTCATAGTTTGCCCTGATCTCATTGAGTAGCTGGGACAGCTCCATTCTTTTCCCATCCTCCACCTTGGCTATCAGAACCTTATCGATAGGATGAGTCTCTGCCGCAGAACCTGCACTGTCTGCATCGCGCGCAGAGACAGCTCCATGGAGCCTTAAAGACACAGAGCTCCTTTTTTTCCCCGGAAGCCACGGATATCCCGGGTTTCTAATCAATTATGCAAATATTTGATAAACCCTTTTCTCCTATTGTTGTTGATCTAGCAGAAGTGTCAGGCTCTCTGTAAAGTAACAGAAAAATGAAAACGGTCTCAGTATTCTTGAATTGGTTCTCTAAAACTGAGCACATTTGGGGGGGGAAGTTAATTTAGCTTGTGGAAAGGAAATGGGGCATAACATAAAGAAAATTGTATTTTGTTTTCCCAAGATATTGCGTGGAAATAAATCTGGGCTCAAAACATGGTAACTAAGCTTTCCTTTTATGGCTTTCCTCACCATTTGGATAATTTACACAGAAATGCTGTGGGAGGGCATTAGAATATGTTGTAAACCTTGAATATTCTGACAGTTATTGGAAAAAGCTACCATCAGATTCAGCTGACAGTTGTCGTCAGCCGCAGGACTGAATGACAGTATTTCTCTTAAATACATGCTGCGTGGCTCATGGTGGGCTGCTGGTCTGACCGCAGGCTTCGATATATTGTGGTGAATTCCTGAAGGTACATTACAGATGAAGCTATGGCTGGAAGTAAGTGCTAAGAGAGTGTGAGAGCTGACAGTTAACATTTCCAACGTTTTAATAAGGTTGAAGAAATACGATCAGATGGTCCCTGAGCAGGATGTGTTCATTGAGGTAAGATGTATTGTGGGGTTACCCCTTCATGAGTAAACAGAGTTAATGATAGCTCCTACTTGTAAATATAACATTTGTGCAGCTCTTCTAACTTTAAAAAGCACCTTTACGACTGTCATTCCATTCAGTAGTCACAATCCCTGTCATTTTGTAACCTGTAAAGATGACAAGCCTGAGGCAGGAGGGGTTAGGGCATGTTTCCCAAGGACGTATGGTGATGTTATGGCATCCTTGGGACTGGAACTTTGACTCCTTGGCTGTATTCCAAATATTGTCCCATCTGCCCCTGCATTATGTCTCTCCCCACCTAAATTCCTTGTTTAGCCTGGCAAGCTGGTTGTTAGATATGACTCAAAATATTTTTGAGATTAGATCTATCACTGTTGTTATTTGTAGAGTGGCTTGGCTGAAAGTGTATCTGGAGTGTAGTTCAGGAAATAATCAATCTTTGGCTCTAGTGCTCACAGGGCCTTTGAATGTGCATCACGCTCTTTTAATTTCTGAATTAACTCACTACTGGCCAGTCCAATCTGTGCTGGGCATTCCCACAGTCGTCTCCAAAGAAAGCTGGCTGACCAGAGCCCCTGCTGAGAGGCGAGTTTCCAGGTCATTCTTGTACTCTGTTTCATTTGACCCATGCCTCCTCCACCCTCCCCACTGGTCACAGTGGATTGGCCTGGGCTAGACACTTGACCTAAGGATAAACTATCTGTAGGTCAGAGACCTATGAGGTAGCCTGACCCAAAAGCTCTGACTGAAGAGCATCACTTATGATTATTTAGGACAAACTGATTCTCTTTTTTTGGTAATTGCAACTGAGAAATAGGAAGAGAATCAGGCATTGATAGTGGGAGGAGAATCAGGAAAGAATTAAACTCTTGTTGCTTTTTGTAGCTCCTGCTGTTCCCTGCCTAAAATCCAGAGAGCTGAACTAGATTCCCTGGAGGGCAGGCCTGGCAATCTGCATCTGAAACTAGCCTCTCGGGTATTTCTACCCTGTAGCAGTGCTTTCGATAGAAATGGAATGCAAGCCACAAATGCAAACCACATATGTAATTTAAACTTTCTAGTTGTCATATCAAAAGATAGAAACAAGTGAAATGAATTTTAATATATTTTATATATCTGAGATATATCATGTCATCAATATAAATTTGTCTTTTTTTCTGGCCACGCCGCACAGCTTGCAGGATCTTAGTTACCCCACCAGGGATTGAACCCGGGTCCCAACAGTGAAAATGCTGAGTCCTAACCACTGGACTGCTAGGGAATTCCCTCAATATAAATTATTATTATTAATTTATTTATTTATTTTTGCGGTACGCGGGCCTCTCACTGTTGTGGCCTCTCCCGTTGCGGAGCACAGGCTCCGGACGCGCAGGCTCAGCGGACATGGCTCACGGGCCCAGCCGCTCCGCGGCATGTGGGACCTTCCCGGACCGGGGCACGAACCCGTGTCCCCTGCATCGGCAGGCGGACGCTCAACCACTGTGCCACCTGGTAAGCCCCAATATAAATTATTAATAAGATATTTTACATCCTTTATTTTTGATACTGTCTTTGAAATCCAGTGTGTATTTTTATGCCCATCTCAATTTGGATGAGCCATGTTTAAAGTGCTCAGTAACCATGGGGCTAGTGGGGGAAGTCCCTGTATGTACTTGTAATGTGATGCACTTGGGCACCCATTCAAGTACCTAATTTTGTTGTATACGAGGGTCCCGAATCTTAGTCCATTTAGTGTTTTGCCTGTCTTACACATAAATGTTGTGATCAGGTTTTATTCTAAGAAGCGTACCAGAGGGACTTCTCTGGTGGCGCAGTGGTTAAGAATCCTCCTGCCAATGCAGGCGACACAGGTTAGAGCCCTGGTACGGAAAGATCCTACATGCAGCAGAGCAACCCACGAGACACAACTACTGAAGCCTGCGCGCCTAGAGCTTGTGCTCCGCAACAAGAGATGTCCCCGCAGAGAAGCTGGGGCTCCTCAACGAAGAGTAGCCCCCGCTCGCCGCAACTAGAGAAAGCCCTCTCGCAGCAACGAGGATCCAACGCAGCCAAAAAAAAAAAGTGTACCAGATAGAACTGATGGTGACACAAGTTTCTATCAAGTGGATTTCTCCTCCAGGCATTTGTAAGTACAAATCTCTTTTCTTTAGACAGACATATCAGTCTAACTGATCTTTTAATTTAGGGGATAATCTCATAGAGCCCGGGTATTATTTTGCTTATTAAGTGTAATTTCTTTAGCAGCTTAAATATTGTGAATTTCTTTTTAAATCAGTCACGCCATTTAATAGGATTATAGGTGCATAATTCATCAGCAAATAAAGATGTATTTTTCTGTACTTTAAAAAAATTGTTGTAAGTGACAGGACTTTACTTTGCTAGTTTGTCCTCTTTTTGTTATATTGCTGATTTTTCTCACAGGAACATGCCTGCACACGATCTGGTTTAATCTTGTGTTTCATGTATCAATTAAGAATATAATTAGACAGATCTGTGTTGGAACGTGTTTGTCAGCATTTTCCAGCATGTTTCAAGGTGCGTGAGCGAAGCTGACACGCATTTCCATATGTCCTGCACATGCATTTCGTGTCGGGTGATTAATCAAGGCATGGTACACACACCAGTGTGTTCTTGGCAGATACTGAATTCATTCTTTGCTGTTGAAACTCAAGAGTAAAACCCAGGGCTACTTCTCTAACCAAAGATTTGGCTTTTGGGTCCTATTTTCTCTGGCATTTTCCACAGCACTCCCCTTCCTACCTTGTTCATTGCAGCCCAACACATGGATTGTTTCATGCTCCAAAAATGACCATTACTAGAGAGTGAGGCCAGTTTAGGATACCAACTATAAACAGTCTCAGTGTTTTACAAATACAATGCATGTTATATTGTTATCATTGCAGACCATAAGCACTAAACAAAACTATCCAGGAATAGTTCAATTTTCTTTTCTCTACCCCTTTTTCATCTGGAGGTCCCAACCTTTGAAGTTGTAGTTCTTAGGCTAAAACTGTGCACCCATTCACTGGTCCCACTTGAGCCACAATATTGGCCTTTCTTTTCTGGTCCCTGAAAGAGAGATCTTTGTTGGGTCCCAAGTACATCTTCTTCACCAATTTGACAGGTGTTCCCTTAGCTTCCCTTCCTGCCATTGAAATACTGATTTTTCTAAACCTCCTTCCTCTACCTGATGACATTGGCCCTGCTGTCTTCTGGTAAGTGTCCTGGAGAGTCTAGTCTTAGTTAATTTCCCCTTATCTTAGTTTATTCTAGACAATTTAATCCCTTTTACTTGCATTCATTCTTTCTTGGATTTTATCTTTTTGTCTCTCTTTAAACATTTTTAAAAATTTATTTTATTGAAATATAGTTGATTTACAATGTTGTGTTAATTTCTGCTGTACAGCAAACTGATTCAGTTATACATATATATACATTCTTTTTCATATTCTTTTCCATTATGATTTATCACAGAATATTGAATAGAGTTCCCTGTGCTATACAGTAGGACCTTGCTGTTTATCCATTCTGTATATAAGAGTTTGCCTCTGCTAATCCCAAACTTCCAATCCATCCCTCCCCCACCTCACCGCCTTGGCAACCACATGTCTGTTCTCTATGTCTGTGAGTCTGTTTCTGTTTTGTAGCTAAGTTCATTTATGTCATATTTTAGATTCCACATATAAGTGCTAGCATATGGTATTTGTCGTTTTCTCTCTGACTCACTTCACTTAGTATGATAATCTCTAGGTCCACCCATGTTGCTAAACATTTTAATTTCGTTAATTTTTTTTTTTTTTTTTTTTTACCTAGTCCATTCTCATAGCTTCCTGCCCTGCACAGCAGTTTTTAGCATCCTGGTTGATAGTCCCCATAGTTTCCTAAAGGCATCGCTTAATTCTGCTCAACTCTTCCCCTGAATGCAGCTGTGAGTTTTCTTCTGTTCAGCCTAGCCTGTATTTCTCTTGATAGTACTCTGTAACTATTACTTAACAGTTCATAATTCACATGTGTTCATTCATTCAAGGACATTTAAAATTTTAAATGAAACTTTTGAGGTAATTGTAGATTCAACTGTAAGGAAGAGGACAGAGAAATCCCACGTGCCCTTTACTGAGCACCTCCAATAGTAACATCTCATGAACAAAGGGACAAAATGACAACCAGGATATCGACACTGATGCAGTCAAGATACAGGACATTTCCATCGCCACAAGGCTCTCTCCTGTCGTCCAGGGCCTTTTCTGAGTGTTAGCTCTGGGCAGTGTGCTGGGCACCAGGAGGGGTGCAGAAAG